GAAGTTCATTTTTTCAGGCATTTTAACCTTAGTACAGATACCCCCCGAAGTGTAATCGGAAAACGATGACGTGTCGCCAATACAAAATGCGTCAGGACCTAGATCCCTAAAAAGGATAAAAATGAGACTTACCAGCCACCGTCACCTTGCGAGGCTCACAACCATTCAGTTCGGTCATCCCCTTTACTTCAGAAAATGTGACATAATCACCATCAACAAAATTGTGGCGAGTTTCCTCCAAGCACGTCACTAAGCCTTGTTGAGACTTCTCAATTTGCTGAATCATTACAGACGGAGGGTCTTCTCCAGTGGGATCAATCACAGTGAACTCTTCGCCAAAATCGCAGAACACTCTACCGAACACTCCACATGTGTTAGCTACGATTAGTCTGATTCCCAATTTGTGACAGATATCGCCCACTTCAAGGCACATCTCGTGGGGACATTGGGTAAGAATCACCAATGAGAACTTCCTGAAGTCCTCCAAACCCAATTTTGGTTTCACTAGAATGTGCACAGCAACATGAGTGTTTAATTCAGCCAGTTTGTGGCGTGATACTTCAGCCCGTCCGTGACCAATATCATCCGCGCCCGCAAAAAAGTGAGATGACAAATCAGTCCAGGTTATTGGACTTTGATCGTACAAAGTGACTGATCGAACACCGGCGAGTATGATATTTTTGGCGATTTCCACTCCTAAACCACTGAGACCACAGATCAATACGTCTGACGTTGCCATACGGCGCATTCCCACCGTGCCCAAAACGTGTATTTGGCGGCTGTACAAACCCTCATCGATTTCATTCACCTCTCCGTTTGTCCCCATACCGTTAGTGTGATTAAGCTTTTCTGATGAATTCAAATGACTATTCTGATTGGAATCTACCAAACAAGATGTTCGCGGTCTCTTGAATGGAGGAGGTGAAGACATCTAAGCACCGAAAGGTTCATCCAAGCCGCGCGACACCACCGCCGAATTTGCGCCGAACTGAACAGATACCTTTCTTTCCAAACATTACGTTGATATATTGTGTAAAACGCCTCAACCAAGCTGTTGCTCGCAACAGCTTATACCATTGCGAATGATAAGAAATTAAATTGACGCTCATCGTGACGGTTCTTTGGTTGATAGCCACGGTGCGCTTAAGCTCAGACTGCCCATCGATTTCTTTAGTGAAGACCAATTTGAATGGAGCAATTTCTTCTAAGTTTCTCAGGAAGGACGGCCTCCGGAGCAAACTTTCCCACTTCTCGTCGTCCGCCTTCAGACCGCGAGTGCCGTGGTCTGCAGGATTAATTGGTCCCTTTACGTGATACCATTGCTTAGGTGTTGGGCTTTCATGTATTATAGCTGATCGGTTAGCTATAAATGTGCTATAACGAGCTGATCTGTTATTTATGTAATAAAGCACGATTGTTGAATCAGTCCAGTAGAATATAGACCCCTTTGAAATATCCAACTCCCGGCTTATGGTATCACATTACCTAATCGCTAC